GGGAGTGCCTAGATTTAATTGTCAATCTTTCTGTTGCTATTTATATGAACTTGTGCAGTCATTTAACCTCTCTGTGCCTCAGTTTCCTTATAATAATATGAGGGATATGAAGGATTATAAAAGGATCTATTTTAAAAGGTTGCCATAAATATATAAATTAAATTACATAAAATGAGTAGACCAGTGGATCACTTTGCTTCCTATTGTTAATTACCTGAAATGTTAGTAGTAGCAGTATAAAAATGACTTCATTTTGACCAAAAACAAGAAGATAAATGATTCTTTATTTTTCTAATAGATTTTCTTTTTCCCTGATATAAATGACACTCAAAAATAACTCAATCATCTACCTAGTTCAAAAACTAATAATCTAGGAGTTATATTTTATTTCTCCTTTATTTAATCCTTTATAATCAATACATGAGAAAGTAGTATTTCCTTTTCTAAATATTGACTATGAAGATCTTACTCTGGTCTCAGGTCTGGTTCCTCAGAAACAGACCTTGAGGCAAGGATTTGGGTGCCAGTGATAGGTTAACACATTGCTTCTAGGTCAGGAAGTGAGGGAGAGAGTGGGAAAGCAAAGACAGGAAGAAGAATCCAAGTGACAGTATAATTTCAGTCAGTTCCAGCCTCAGCATGATTTTTTTCTTTTTTTTAATAAATTTATTTACTTATTTATTTTACTTTTGGCTGCACTGAGTCTTCATTGCTGCACGCGGGCTTTCTCTAGTTGCGGAGAGCAGGGGCTACTCTTCGTTGCCGTGCACGGGCTTCTCATTGTGGTGGCTTCTCTTGTTGAGGAGCATGGGCTCTAGGTGTGCAGGCTTCAGTATTTGTGGCACACGGCCTCAGCAGTTGTGGCTCACGGGCTCTAGAGTGCAGGCTCAGTAGTTGTGGTACACGGGCTTAGTTGCTCTGCGGCATGTGGGATCTTCCCGGACCAGGGATCAAATCCGTGTCCCCTGCATTGGCAGGCGGATTCTCAATCACTGTGCCACCAGGGAAGCCCAGCATGATTCTTTAGGGGAGCTCTGGGATGCAAATAACATGTTGGTTTTAATACTTCTGTACCTTTTAGACAATGGCTCAGGGATTCCAAGGGAGACAACTGTAAACTTGCAGGCATTTAGGCTCTCTGTGCCTGTGAGCAAAGTGGCTCCAGTAGCCAGGGGAAGTCCTTCAAAGAGTTGCAGGTGCAGGCCATTAGAAGCAAAGCATACAAAAATTGTAGTGCATGCAGTGTGTGTGTGTGTGTGTGTGTGTGTGTGTGTGTGTTGCCCATATTAAAGAATCAAAGGAAACCTGAGTAGAATAACAGTGTCCACTTCAAACTTCTCTATGAGCCATCATCATCTCTTTCTGCCCTACAGTGATGACTTTAACTGTCTCCCCCTTAACCAAAGCCTTTCCTATCCTCTAACTTGTTTTCTAATCTGTAGCCAGACTGATCTTTTCTAAACATGGCATGTTAAAGTCTTCCAACTGCTTGCACTGGAAATGAAAACAAATTTCTTACTATAGCTTATAGTGGTCTATGGGATCCTGGCCTCTGCCTAAGTCTCTGGCTCCATCTAATATACAGCTGAACTTTTTGCTTAAAGGCTTACATTCTACCCAAAGTGGACATCATAGAACAGGCCACAGGAAATGAAGAATGCTCTTCAATTTCTCTTGCAAGTGTCATCAGCAAGGACGATGGCCAAAGGAAATTTCCCAGTGGGAAGAAACCAGGTTACCCAGTGTAGTCAACTAAGGAATTTGTTGTATTTCATCAAAGTGAATTAACAGTTATTCTTGAGACTCTCTGGCTGCTCATTTTCTACTGCACCATCCCTGATCAATAAAATGCAGGCATATTCTAATCTACTGGGCATTAGATATTACTTTTCCATTACACTTTTTGTAAACATTATTTGACATTGTAGTGTTCTGACATTTATTTCAGAGTTTTACAGGTTGTGGTTAAATTTACCAGTTTCTAGTAGTTTACAGGACTGGTAATAGCCACAAAAAGTTGATGGAAATAATCAATAAACAATCTAAAATAAGGATGTTGATGGAAAAATCAATAAACAATCTATAACAAGAATAAAAAGAGTTTTATTTGGGCCAAGCTGAGGACTTTAGCCCGAAAGATATAGATTCAAGAACTTGAATTGTGTTCCGCCAGACTATGAAATGAAGGAGGCTTACAAGGGCAAAAACCTTTATACATTAAAAAATTACATAAGCTGTTTGTCAAGAATTCAGATTGGAGCTAGCAAGAAGAACAATCCTTGTTAAGCAAGGATTGGTTGGGGTCCAAAATGGTTGCATAATTTCAAGGGGAGACCTTGAGATCATAATATTGCAGCTGCTAGGAAATGTTGTTTAGCGAATGCAGGTAGTGTCCTTGAGTCTGATACAGTTTAGGAAATTCAAGTTCTCAGTGATGCAGGAAAGTGTCTAAAACCATGTCCTCAATGGCCACGCATCTCCATTTTGGATGACTGAACCATAATTACTCCATTTTGGTTTTTAAATGCACTCTTTTCTTAAATGGTTAAAGCAGATGTACAATGCATGTTCAATAAGCCATGGATATGCTCTTTTAATTAGCATAAAGTTCAAGTTAAACAATGTATAAGCCAGAATGACTTCCTCATACCTCAATATGTGAAAATTTCTCCCATCAAGAATAATTATCATTGCCCAAGATTTCAGAGTAAAAGACAATAACGTGACTTTGATTTCTCTAATTCCAAATGAGAGATCTGTGGCCACATATGTGTATTTTGTTAAGTAAGAACATTTTTTTAAATAATAGGTATGGAAACTAGGGTACATAGAGCTGGACAAGCTAATAGCTCTGTACCAATAGCAAGCATCCATTCTTTACTCTGTTATGTTGGTGATAGATTAATACATATATATGACTATACTGGAAGCAAACATGGCTGATAATGGCAATGATGATGTTGCTAATGAAAACACTAACATGTTGAGAATTTGTATGCTAGCACTATGCTAACTTACTATAAGCTACATGTATTATCTTACGTAAAAAAATATTGTTTAAAGCTGTGGATCTAAAAACTAGCTCCAGCACTTACTCTCTGTATGATCTTTGTCAAATTACTTAAATTCCTCACACCTCAGTTTTCTCATAGGTATATGCTGCTGTAAAAATTAAATAAATCTTTGTATTACAAATAACTATGACTTTGTGATAAAAGTTCAAGTAAAATTAATAACAATACCTTGTGAATCAGGTATTGATTATTCTCTTTTTATACAAGAAGTAGTTGAAACATAGTGATGTGGGTAAATATCCAAAAGGCTCAGATAATAAGGGATAAAGCCAAGCTAGATGCTTATATTTGACCTTTATGACTTGATAACTGCAACAGAATCCACAGATATATGGTCCAGCATTGGACATCTGGCCTAAGCCATGTAAATTAGAGTCCATTTCCAGAATTTTTTAAACTCAAGATAGAAAAGACTGGGCTTCCCTGGTGGCGCAGTGGTTTAGAGTCCGCCTGCCGATGCAGGGGACACGGGTTCGTGCCCCGGTCCGGGAAGATCCCACATGACACGGAGCGGCTGGGCCCGTGATTCATGGCCGCTGAGCCTGCGCGTCCGGAGCCTGTGCTCCGCAATGGGAGAGGCCACAACAGTGAGAGGCCCGTGTACCGCAAAAAAACAAAGATAGAAAAGACTTATCAGTTGCTTTCTGGATTGGATGATGTTAAATCTGAACTCCATGTATTTGTATATTTCATCATGTTGAGAAGGCTTAGGTCAAAGCCAGAGAGAAAAGAGAGAGAGAGAGCTCAAGTTCTCAAGCTCCTAATTCTAGTTTTCATAAGCAGGAAATACCCAGTTGCTTCTTTACTCCTTTCATTCTTTCCTTTCCACGACTTGATATTATAATCCAATGAATTCTTTTTTTTTTTGCCTACACTAGTTGATGGGTTTTTATTGCTCATCAAATCACTATCATCAGCAGCAATATCTCACATCTTCTAGATTAAATCCTTTACTAATTAAACAAATTTACTAATAAATAAAATTAATTTTGAAATACCAAATGAATTATTTTTACTTCAAGAAGAATCAACTTACTATCTCAATAGAAAAACATTGTTTATTTCAAAATTCTGGATCAATTATCCCATAGGTAAGACCTCATATCTAATTTTGCAATACTAATTTTGTGTGCCCTGTTTTTTTTTTTTATTATTTTAGGAAATATATGTGATGTTGTTTTTAATTATCAGGTAAAATGTTCCTGAACATGAGGAGAGCATGTTCTCCTCAGTCTCAAATAAATTTGAGTGACTTACTCAACTGATTTTTGGGAAAAATTGTTATTGATTGTAAAGGATCAACATGGTACAGTGCTAGGTAATGCTAGACACAATCCAAAGTATATTTGGTATCATTTAATTTGCCTTGAGGCAACATCTCAACATATTAGAGAAGAATAAGGAGGAGGAGAAGAAGAGGAAGAGGTGGAGGAAAACAGCTTGCAAAAGTTGGTAGATTGTGAACAGAAAACAGTGTTCTTATTCATATATATGTATATATTAATAAATATTCTACTTTTATTAGTCTTGAGGACTTTAGGAACACTTGATATGATCTTTGGTGCATTATGGAGCTTATCTTTTCAAAATAATATTTAAATTACTAATATATTCACATTTACATGCTGTAATACAGTGGTAGTAAGGTCAGCTGTTAAATTCCTATTTAATCTGTTTGTATTACATACGTCTCCCTACTTATCCGTATGATATATGAGTTTTTAATGACAGTTCACTGATGTAACATGGAAAAATAATATATTAATGATATATTATTTATAACATTTAAATAACATTCGGAAAAGTTTTATAGTTTACAGGTTATGTGAAAATGAAACACAACCTAATAAACCATTTTTCTCCCACTACTTTTCAGGGAAAACAGACAGTACACTGAATTTGATTTCCTGCTG